TTTTTGACATTTACTTCAATGGTTGCAATATATTTTCAGGCACCACCAAATTTAGTTTCACCAGAGCAACGTCGTTCTGCAGAGGAAGTTTTTTTAAATTTTCGAAAAATTAAACTACCTTATGAGCTTTGTAGACACATTTTGGAGACCAATACAAATGATTATATTCTTTTTGAGGCTGCTGGTTTAATAAAAGTAGCATTAATACGGGAATGGCCTTCATTGCCAGAAACAGATATTTCTGCATTAAGAGAATACTTATTACATTATGTTATAAACAAACCAAATCTGACTCCATATGTCAAAGGCTGTATAATGCAACTTATTGCAATTATAATAAAAAGAGGTAGTGTGCACGATTCTGGACAAGCACGACAACGTATATTAGGAGAAGTTGAAAATTCAATAATGACTGGTGATTTGCCTAAAGTAAACAAAAACAATTACACTTACATTATTTTATAATATTATGTACTATAATGTTTTATAATATTTTCAGAAACTTCTGGGATGCAATCTTATTTCTGCTATAATGCAAGAATATGGAATCAATGTGAAATCTTCAGATATAGGTTTATCATGGGAAAAACATACAGAACAAAAATTAATATTTCAAGGTGCTGATTTGAAAAGAATTTTTAAGTTTTGTATTGGGATACTTGATGAATTGATTAAAAAAGATTTGGACGTAGATTCCATCATTTTTCTGAAACAATTACTCCCAATTGTAGAAAATGTACTTACATGGACATGGAAATTTGCTAGTCCATGGGATATGGATATCCTTTTTATAACTTCAATTATTCCTTCTTTTGTACTCTATATTTCTAGATATTTTTAGATTAATTTACTATTTTAAATTTTTAATTCCTTAACTACGCTTATTTATTCTGGACCGAAAACGTGATGCAGAACATTATGAGCCTTTAAATCCAATTAAATATTGGCAAGATGTAATGCTAGATCCAGCTGTACTGGATTTAATATTTACATTGTATTGGAAAATACGAGAGAATCCACAATTAGCACATCATGCAAGAACTTGTTTAATTCAAATGGCAACATTGCATGGTGTAGTAATGTCAACTAAAGAAATCGAAGTGCAATATCTCACTAACTACCTCGAAAGATTTTTAAAATTTGTTACAAGTATTAACATTATTGATGAAGAAGCAAGTGGAATTGCTAGTATTATAAAAAATATTTTTAAACATTTTAAAAAGGATATTCCTTTTTTATCTGAAAATATATTAAAATCTTTTTTGGAGCAATCGTCGAGATTAACTTGTATGTTTTTAGAAAACGCAGTACAAGAAGAATCAGTAAGTTACAACATATATTGCCTAAACACTTTTTATGTTCATAGATAAAGAATGATTGACTAGATTATTATGAAATTATTTTATTTATTACAGTTAACTGTCGGTGAATATTTATATACAGAAGCTGTAGAATATTTGTTTGATGCATGGATGTATGTCCTATTTTACAAAATTCCAAAAATTACTTCTGAATTTTATGAACAAATTTTTGGCCAAATGTTTAACGTATATCTACTATGTCATTTATCGCCTCCCGAAGGTATAAGAAATATGGAAGATAAAAGTCTTGAAAAAGAAGAATCAGACAATGAAGAGACTGATAAGGTCAAATTTAATCATCATTTGGAAGTAATTGGTAAATTTAACATAAGCGCGCATACACATATGCATATACATAGGTACATATATTTGACTTACAAAATATATTTTTCACGTTAGGAATGATTGGCAGAGAGGTACCAAATTATTCTCTTCCACTGTTGGCACAGTTGATAGAAGATCGCATTTCTAAATTACGCGAAAACCTAAATAAATTAGTAGGGCAGACTAAACAATTATATACAATGAAGGATAATTTTATGCGTAGATTGTATGAAGATTTGCATTGGCTAGTGCTTGTAATAGGTAATATACTTTGCGTAATGTGTAATGGTGAAATTGCCTTAATACCATCTGAAATAATGACATATGATATGGAACAGGTTTGTAAATAAAATGAGAATTAACAGTAAAACATATGTAACTTAAGTTTAAATTTCATTTTACCTTAATGCTGCATAGTCATATCATGTAATTATTAGATTTCATTCAAAATACAAATATGTTCATATAAAACATAACATATTTTTTTAGGTGCGGCAAGGAAAGGTCGATATGGATCTTACGTTACAATTTTTAGCATCCTCAGAAAATGTCTCCTCAGATATCATGGTTACCGAATCAATAGATCATGCTATTCGTTTAATCGCAAATGTTTTTCGTCTGTGTGCTATAGAAAAAGCTGCAATATCCGTTCATCTAGATAGTATACTAAGTCCTGAATTAAGTTGTACTATAATTTGGTTTTTGCACAAGTGGTCTTTGCAGTACCTTATTCCTGTGGAAGGTCGTTATGCTGAAATATCTTACATGTTTTTATCAGCTTTTGGTGAGCATACCTGTGGTGCATCATGGGCTATGAATTTTCTTTTAGAAAAAATAGAACACAATATTAATGCTTTTAAGAGTGAGCCGGCATTGATGGACGAAACTATACAGTTATTGACATCACTTGCTGACACCAAGAGGTAACTATAAAATAACAGAATGTTGTATAAATGATATACATTATGTTTGTAAATAGAAAGCATAAAGTCCTTTCATATTTTATTTAATTACGCAAAATATTTTTGCATCGATCGATGTTACAGTTCCATATTTCATGAAAAAATATTTTATATTACAATTAATCATAATTATAAAAAAACTTTAAGTAATAAGTAAAAGAGTATGCAATAATTTTCAGATCCATTTATGTAATGAAGTCTGAACGATTTGGAAATATTATAAATTTAGCTACAAAAGGACAATATGACTTTCCACAGGTAGTTAAAAGAGGATTAATGAAAGCTTTGGTTCAAGTTGCAATGAATTGTCCATCCAAGACAAATCAATCTTACTGGACACAAATTTTACAACCGTTGCTTGATAGATGCAAACGAGTTACCTCTGATGAAAAATTTTTACAATCTTATCATCAAGAAGAAATTAAAGTTCAAGTTATAGATAATTTAGAACGTTTAATAGGTAAATCATTTTTAATTTTTTCATTTTTCAGTACTTTGTACTTATTAGTTTAAGATATAAAAACGTTATTTATCAAATGTTTACTATTGATGTTTGAAAATTATATTTTAATGTTATAGGAGCTATACAAGGTGCCCAAGGTTGGGGAGCCTCAACACTTTTTCAGCATATTCTGCCGGTATTACGTGAACTGCCAAATTTATTATCTTTGTACCATAATTATCAGGAAATAGTACAATTAATTTTGGAATTACTTTTTGAATGTACAAAAGGACCAGAATCAGTTCTATCTTTTTTAACTCAGGTAATATTATTTTTAATTTTGTAGATTTATTACAGCGTTTGTTTAATCATCACAAGCAATAGTATTTATTGTTTGTATAATTTTGTGATGTATTTATCTTTCTAGACCGAAGCTGTACACATCTATGATATATGTTTAAGTGCAATACAAATTTATGCGCGTTGTAATACTAATCGGGTAACCATAGATTCAACGGCAGAAGAGGATAGCTATCAGGATATTCTGTTACTAATGAAGCTATTAACCCATCTTTTACGTGAGGATTTATGGCAAGATGCGACAGCATCAGTTACCTCAGCAAATGTGTTTATGCATGGTTTGAAGATAATTATGCCTATGATAACTACAGATTTGATAAAATTTCCAACATTGTGTTCGCAGTAAGTTATATAGCTTTCACTATTGTTTTCCAAAAGTTGCCTTTAAGGTTATTTTAATTAAATTAAAATGCATTTTGTTACAGTTATTTTGAAATGATACAAATTTTCTGCAAAGAATATCCCCAAGAAGTATTCAGTATGTCTCCTGAAACATTACAACCGCTTTTAGCATCAGTAGAATTAGGTTTATTCTCGTTTGGACATGATGTGTCTACAACCTGTTGCAACATAATTCACACTTTAACAAAACGGGTCTATCAAGATGTTCAAGAGGGGACTCCACCAAATCAAATAATGACACCGTTTTTAAATGTAAGTGATTCTTTGAATATGTCATGTTACATTGTTAAAATCTATTTGATTCTAATTGCTTTTTCTGTTTCAGTTATTAATCACTGTTATTTTAACACATCAAATTGACTGGAACTTTGTAGTAGATGCACGTAGACCACTTCATTGCTTGATATGTTGTTATCAAGACGAGTATAGGCGAATTGTACAAAACATTTTATCTTCCCAAACGGATCAACAAGTTGTACAAAGATTAGCTAATGCCCTTACAACGTTAAATCAAAAAGACGAAACGGAGTTCACACAGTGTTATGAGGAATTCGTTTCCAATGTAAAGGGATTTTTAATGGTTAAATAAAATAAATTAGATAACACTTTGTTGGTTTCTTTCTGTCTTCCATTTAAAGAGACAAAACAAATTTCACATTATACAGATAATGTATCTACAAATGCAACATCAAAGAGAGAATTTCACTTTCAATATTCGACTTAGAATACGGGTACGCCGTATGAAAGGGAATTCCTTAAGCATATAAGCTTTTTATTGACCGATTTATTACAGGTTTCCACTTACAGTGAGCCTAGCCAAAATCGAATAATTATAATAATCATAATCATAATAAATACATAAGTTACAGCATCGATGCATGTTTCTCTTTTTATAGCAAACGATCAAAAACGAAAACGTTTTTGTAATAGAGTTTTTAGTTACCTTACAAACAAGTATATGAACTTACATACTTAGTACAGATCAAATCATCGTTAGCCTTTCTTCGTACGCCTCTAGATGATCTTTGACATTTGACAAAATGCTTATGTTAATATTAAATTTATTTATATATTCTTCTTTCGCGCTGTCCCTTTCGCACTCACTTTCTCTCGCGCACGCGCGCTTCTACATTCTCTCCCTTTTACTTTCTCTCGATCTCGTTTCTCTTTAATTCCGTATTTTGACTCCTAATAACAATAATGATTACTAACCTTACCGACGGCGTTCGTGCATTTTTATCTGCATCACTTATATCGCCTTTCTTTATCACCGTTCACTTTCGTTTTTTATTTCACCTACTTTACGCTTACTTTCCAATTTCTTTCTTTTTTATTTTTATTTTTTACATAGTGTTAAATCAAAACTTTAACCCCCTGAAGCAATGTTTTTGTTTGCTTCATTTTACTTACATGCACGGTTTGTCGTATATAGTATAACAAATAAATTATACATAAATAACATGATTAAAATTGTAAATGCTATGTATCGTGAGTAATATTCATAAATACATTATGCGCTGGTATAAGTATTATGCCCTTGTACAGTTTATAGATTTTTCTCTTACACGTTAAAAAAAAAGAATGAATGAATAGCTTAATTATACATGGATTTTCTTTGTTTCTGTCGTGTAAAAGCGCATTTCATTTAAGTCTTCATTTTAATCCTAAATTTGTTAAAGTACAGTTATTCTGTAGATATACAATGAATATCTTAGAAAATAGCAATACATTGAGAATGCACCCCTTGCGTCCTTCAGTTCAGATTTTTTAATGTGCTCGTTTTCAAGAGTTAATATTATGAATATTATATTTCTTATATATTTATCTCTTATATTTATGTTACACGGATTCCACCACTCCCATTTTAAGCAGGATTTGGAATCTCCCTTTGATACATTATTAGACATAAATAACAAATTAGCAATACTAAATGTTATCTTTTGATAAAAAAGGAAAGAAATAGAAAAGAATAAGGTTAAGTAAACATTTATATTGCACGTTGTCTTTTATACACTCTGAAGGATGAAAGATTATTTAACTTTAAAAGTTAACCAATATTACACTGTATGTGTTGCTCTAGGACAGAATAAAGAATAAACAATAAATCGGTCAATAAATTTAATCATAATTATTTCTTTGGGGTGTTTTGAAAACAAATGTAATTAAATAATCATTAAATACAATAGTATTGTCCATTACTCGTTTACTTTATCTTGAAATAGTAATAATCTGGTTTTTTCTCAATAAATAAATTATCAAAATTAAATTAATCATCACCCCAACGATACAATACGAATAACCATTGTACTTCACGCGAGAATCTGCGATTGCTAAATATACATAAATATATAAATATGTACCCACCCACACATACAGATTTATATATATGTGTGTGTCTGTGTATATACTTGGCAAGGTTAAGTAGATCCATACGTAATTCCAATTTATAAATTACAAATGATCACTGTCCCTTAAACAGGGACTACAATTACAATTTGATCTCTACATCGTTACGAAAATGTAACATAAATTCCAATGAATAATTTAACTAATCAATGTTACATATGCATATAAATGTGCACTAATTGGCAAAATTCCCATATTTGAAAAAAAGAAATGAATGAATATTCACTATCGATTCGTTTCGTCTAAATGTTTTGCTTCAAAGGGTTAAAAGCACCGAGTGCGTACAACTTATCGAATTATGGTTTCTCGTTCCCCGTCGATACGTGTGTCGTCGTTTAACAAAATAAAACTATCAGACTCTACAACAGTTAGTAAGCAAAAACGGTAACAGAAGCGGGGCACATATTCACGTAGGCCACCGCGTATAAACGACCGAGAAAATAATTCGCTTCGAGACTTTACAAGCTTTTCCACTTTATCTGCCGTTCAGCGGAACATCTTAGTAATCGTTTTTCTGAGATCTTGTCTACAAGGTACAAAAATTGGAATGCCGTTGAAATCGATTACAAAAGACCCCCATTAAACAGAGATGGAAGGGGGCGAGGTGTGGATTATGCAGGAAATCAGGTGTGTAAAAACGTAAAGCGTTTACATTCTAACATTTCTCGATTAATATCTAATGAAAATTCACGAATGCTTACAATGAGTTAAAAAAATATCTGACCGTTGCTTCTCTTAAATAATACTGCAAACTATTTGTTCTTGGCTACTAAGGATATTCTCTGAAAAACGTTTTCTTCGATTTTTCTTTTCGCTCGAATACTGGTCTAGACAGTAAGAATAGAAGAATTCGCGTTTCGAGCTCTCGATATATTCTTACATTTAATACCAAGTATTCGTTATTCGAGTCGTAGAACGTGTTACGGCAGCGCGAAACAAAGGGAAAAAGGATTATTTCGATGAACGATTGCCATAGGCAAAACATAATTATACAAACAAATCGCTAACAATTAATTATTCAACGATTACCGTTTTCTAGAATTCGTTCGAAATAATCCGCACCCATTCTCGGTGTAGAATCTTTCTCTTTCTCTCAGCATGAACACGCAGAAATTCGTAATCTCGTTGCATCCTCCTTTCCTTCTTTTTCTCTCACTCTCTCTTTCTCGCACTCTCTCTTTCTTTCTCTTTCTCTCCCTCTCTTTCTTGCTTCCTCACGCGCCACAACTTCTCTTTATGAATATACCTACAATGTGTATTCTCTTGCCTCGTTTTCTATGATCGTCTTAGGAATGTTTTATTTAGGCATAAATACGTTCCTCTTCGCCTTATGCGTTCCACGCTTAAAAGAGAATCGCTTCGCACGACCGACTAATATCGAGAAATTCGAATATATCGTAAGAGAGGTATCGCGAGCTTGTGTACTCTCGTCGACGTTTAGATACGTTTCGATTATCGAAACGAACGGAGAGATTACGTGAGAAAAGCTTGCGATTACCAAAAGTAATAATTTCAATATAATTTGAACGTGTATAATCTTTTCTTTTTTTTCCTTTTTTCTTGTCTGTTTTCTTTTCTGTTCTTTAAAGACAAACACACGTGTTTGCGTTTCATAGAATCCTTTTCATTCTCATTTCTCTATTCGGTCGTCAGGAGTAAAAGAACTGACGATTAATTAAATCAGACGTTGCGAGATATTAATCGGCGGCTATCGAAGCTGGTAGCCAATCGATGTACAAGTACACGCTTTTTTCGAGTCATATTTAATAATCGAAGACTACCGAAAATCGAAAGCTACAGAGATCATGGGACTCGAAGGCCGAGTGCGACCAGCATAATATCTTCTCGGAGGTTTTCGCAATGACGCTCGTTACCTCGGCCAACGTGTCGACCACTCACTTGTTTTGGTTCGACTGTTGATTTATCGGCGGAACTAAACCCACGAACGAAGCGTTCTTCAGCTTCGTAGCCGTCGGTCCTTTGCGCGCTAGTTTCGACCTGTAACAATTGTCGAAGATGCCTCGTTAGTGAAAAGGTTCTTTTTATAAATCCATATTCTCGAATAAATAATAAATACCCAATATACATATATATATACACATTTATCATCGTTTATTCTACTTGCAACATAATTTTATAAATAGCCTTAGAATTTTGTCTAAGAAATTCGGTTTTATTTTTGAAAAATTGCCAGACTCCGGGCAAATTATAATTTTGACGCGAATCGGGATTACTAGCGCACCTGATTTGACCAGCAAGAAGAGGATTAATAGCATATAACCAGTCATAAACCTCCTTGTCTCCTAATGTCTGCAATAAGTACCCTCGATGTTTTGTAACGACACTGAAAAACAAAAATATCGATCTCAATATTCTTTCCTGCTCATTTATACTTGCGAATGCAATAGTAATTGCTCCATATTCGGTAACTTACCTGAATGTATTTGGTACTTTTACCATAGCTAATTGATCTTCGGAATATTCAACTTGAGCAGTAGCTAAATTGATAAGAGCTCTCTCTACTGGATCCTTCTCTTCCCGAAAAATCAAGACGTACGGTCGTCGCACAGCCTGACGAACAATAATGTTACAAATTATTAATATTAACAGATTCATTTGAAGAGAGAAATATATAAGGTCTATTTAATGTTCACATACCACCCAGCGTTTCTTCCAACCATTAGTTTTGTGTTCGAGAACATTCAGGTATCCTTTTCTGGCGATAACAGGACTGATGCGGATTTCTTCGACTTCCGGCACATAAAGTACCAAGTTTTCCTTCGATGGTGAGGATGAACCCAACTGAGGTGGTGAAATGTTACACGATTGATTAGCAGATTCGCTTGCCAATATAGTCTCCTGCAGTTCTTGCATTCTAGCCCTCTCCGGTGAACTCAACCTAAGGATGCACGACTTAGACCTGCTCCATACTATTATACCAGCAGCCTGCAAGTAACACTCCAGCATCACCCTGACCGTGTCCAATCATACTGGCGGTTGTCATTGACTCGAAAAGCCTCGAGCCGTCGTCTACCGATTACATTTTAAAGTAGAAGACAGAAAGCGATTGTTAAAAAAGAAAGCTGACTGCGCTAAAAGCGCGATTCTCACTCAGCGAAAAGCTAATTTTAAAACTTGCGTGACTCGTTAATCGTTCTCGAAAGCGAATATGGAATTTAATCGCAATCGAGCATTTATATGATTGATAAAATCAAGATCGTTGCAAGCTATACAGAGAAGACAGATTAACCTTCAAATCGAATCGAATTCTCGCTATCTTCACTCGTCATTGTTCGGATATTTTCAATCTTTTCTTTCTTTTGCTCTTTTAATTCACCACTGTAAACCTGAATCCAGTGTTTGTAACAGCGTTAAATTGTTAATAATTAAAACGCTGCGTAACCGGACAGTGATGTGAATGAAGAAAGAGAGTATCGTTTTTCTTTGAAATCTCGAGATACAATATCTATTTTTGCCGTCAAGGTAAAATACGACGATGCGACGAAGCGTGGACAACCGCTACTAGCAGGAGCACTCAGGCATGCGGGGAGGGTTACCTGCTCTAAGTAATCACTAGTTCTCTCGTATACTGACTCTTGGGACGAGGACGATATCACCGAAGACATCATGGATGCTAACATATCAGTGTCTTCGCCAGGTGAAACGTCTGACAATAGAATGGGTTCTTTGCTTAGGATTCGACCTTGGATCAATTTAATATACTTTGTGGCCAGTTCTCTTTCTTTTTCGGTCATCTCCCAAGGCTCGTAAACGTCTTTACTCGTTGAACGTTTCAACTTAACCGGGCTGGCATGCGGTTCATTCGTCGCTTTCGCCATCATATTGCATACCTCCTATATGGAATAAATAATTTTGTTGATCGAAAGCATAGACAGACGTGCTTCGTTTGTTTAATCTTCAGCATCGTTCAAATACAATAATAAGCGGGCATTTGAAAATTGTGAAACGAAAAAACTTTACCTTCTCGCTCTTTGTGAAATCGTGCGACAGTTTATTACAGAATGAGACTTTATCGATGCCGAGCTTCTCTCGTAACAATAAAGTGTGCCGTACTCTCTCCACTTCCTCTAATCTCGTTAATTTTTCCAATTCCCATTGGTGATCGAATATCAGGCTGTCCCCTCGAGGTCTCCATCCGTGAAGATTCTCCTCACCTCTGACGTATGTAGAACTGGTGTCCAGTACGCGACGTTGTCGCCTTTGAACGCCTGAAAAACAATTGTGAGAGTGGAGTAGGTACTGAATAAAGAAGACGCAAAATGCCAGAATGATATGAACATATTTTGATTCGGCGAATTTTGAGAATTTTTGTTTAAAAACGCAATCACCTTTCGGTAACTAAATCAAGGATAAAGAAAATGAACATCAGATATTGCCAATTCGTTGATAACATGATATAATAGTCATCGCGTGTATAACAGCTTAATTATTGTAAGCAATTGCATAATCGTAGCATATCGTTCGAACAGAATAATATACTCTACAAGCAAAATTGTGATGCGACTATTATATCTCGACAGGAAGGGAAGGGATTAAGAGGGGTCTACGCTAAGGGTAGCAAGACAAACCTGGGCTACCTGCTTCCGAAGAACGACGCAGGACCAGCTCGTAAACACCGCTGAGTCTGTTGGCTTCCTGATTGCGGTAGCTTCCGCTGAATAGATGTTTCAAAGAACGTGGTCCTACTCTGGCGTCTCTACCGTAAATGATCATGCTCAAGTCTTTAGTGATGATCGCTGGTCTTCCACAATTTTCCAGCTAAAAACAGATACCTCTGTTTAAGTACTTGTTCTGTGTTTATAGCAGGCCATAATGAAACGAGATGTATCAGAACAAAGAGTAATCATACTTCAAGGTACGCGGAAATGGTCATGAAGATTTGTTCTCCGTACGCTGTTACTCTGTTGAGCAAGGTTGAATTATGGAGGGAGCTGTCCCACGCTGCCTCAAATCTGAACATGCACCTATCGTCTCCGGGTATTTCCAGGTATTCACCGGGGAAAAGTCCTAACGAGAGTACCGACGAATCGTTGTCCTCTTCTTCTGGTTCTGGCGTATTTCTAATGCGTCCAACAACCAACTCTCTCACGTCCTTCCATCGTAACTCAGACGCTGGTTCGTGAACAATAGTAATTCGAATACGACGCTGAATGCCCTGATGAAGCAAGAATAATCCACGACACGGTAGGTCGTCGCTATGGTCGACTACAGATGGCACATATTCTCCGTTTGGTGCTAGCTCGCAGATCTCGAACCAGACTAACACATCATATTTGGCATGTACGTGTGACGAACTGGGAGATGGTAAAACGCTTCCGAATTTCGGCGAGCGTACGGGTTGGCTGATCGGTATAGATGGCGGAAGCATTCTCTTTGGTGGTTGTCTGACGCTATTTGATAAAGTAATTGAATATAGATAAGGATAGAATACTTATTGAACGAATTGCAGATGAATTTGGTAGAAAGATGTAAAGCAAACATTTTCATAAATTTAATAGGAACAATGTTATGCTTACTATTCCAGTTTGGCATCTTTATGCAAAGGATGTTGTTGATAATGTCCGATAACTTCGAAGACGATCGGTTGAGTTTTCAGATATTCCAAGAACGATTTTGTCACTGTAACTGTGATCTAAAGAAACGGTATTAAAGAACAAGCAGTTAATCACTATATAAATTTCTTACTTTTAATACAAACTCTGAACTCACATTTTGCACGTGATAGAATCCAGGAGAATTTCCTTTTCCCGTATTTTTCACTGGTTCCGTTGAAAATGCCTCATCGTGTCGGTGCAAGAAACTGCGTGTACATAATTATTTATCAATTGATCGTGATGTGTAGTTTTACTTGAAAGATTTCTACGAATGTATTACATATTAGCTACAAGCGTACTTGAATTGGCAGAAAATATCGGCGTATTCGGTAGAAATTCCCATTGCCTGCAGCACGGTTACCCTGAATGTGAATTCAGCGCCGATTTGCAGGTGATCTAGCAGATCCTCTTCTTTCATGTCACTGGAAACTGAGCTATCGCCTCTTCCACTGTCTGCATCGCAGATGTCGTCTTCATCTTTTACGTCCTTCTGATCATTGTGACCCTCCACAACCCGTTCCTCATGCATAAGAATCTGTCGATTCTTCTCGAGGGTCTGCGTCAGTAGGGTGTTGCGTTTGTTCTGCTTCTGGTTACCGAATAGGTCGTCCTCGAAGGAAATTCTAGCCGACTGTCTGACGCCACTTGAGTATTCGCTATTTTCCTCTTCTGGAACAAGGGTTCGTTACGAAAATCCTACGCCAGCATCTCTTCAACAGAGATTTGGGACGAGAATTTAGGAGATCAAGGAACGAGAGGAAAGATTTTAGGATAACTTCAAAAATTGATTGTAACTGCATTCCAATATAATAAATCATAATATTTAACGTATACTATAAATTATAATAAATGAATAAATAAACTCTATACTTTAATAGGATACAAATGTATCTTATCCATTGATATTTTTATTGTTAATCTTTCCTAATAGTATCACCACTCGAATTAGTTTTATACTTCAGATAAGGGTGATAAAAATCAGACCACTTAGAAATAACAAAAAAAAAAGGCCAGGATAAACAGCTCAAGAAAAAAAAAATCTTAACGATAAATGTATATACTGAATATTCTTGGTCGCTTCAACTCTCATTTAAGTAAACGAAGAATTCCAGTGACCAGTTTGATGAACTATGTCACATCAATGTCAAGTTGACCTGTGTCAATCAATTACGTAACAAACACTTTGCACCGTTAGTCGAGGATTAAATAAACTTGAGGCAAGGGATAATAGAGCAAGATATACAGACGCTGATTACGTACCAACAACGGCTTGCACGGCCACACGCAAGTAGCCTTTCACGTCTCCCTTTTCGTTGACTATCGCTACTTTGTGGATCAATGGTACGGGATACATAAGGTTGCTTAAGTATACAAAGGACCTGTGACAATGAATAGGAACCTCGTCAATTTGTTAGTACGACAAATAAGGGATTGTTAAGACATACATAAATCACACAATTTCAAAATTCGATTCGAATGGAAATATTTTTCATTTTTATGAACTTACCTGCCAACCATTCGGAACCATGGAAAACGATCGTAGAATGGATCACCGCCAGTGATTGATTCGATGTTAAAGTCAGGAGACGTCGGGGAGAGCTCTGCCTCGTTGTGGTACATCTCTCGCATCAGTTCGAGTCTTTGTCTGCGCAAAAGTAAAAACGTCCAATTCTCCGTGTTAATCTGTTCGATGCTGTTATAGCCACTGATATAAAGACGTAGTCGAACATTGTCGAGAAGCACAGTGAAGAACACTCGGTACAAAACATTCACAATTTTTTGAACACCGTGTGCGTGGTATGTGTTCGAATGTACTCAGAAGTCGTATGAGTAATTTTGAAGATACGTATCAAATAAAGGGACATTAACATGAGATTTCTATCGAATACTCCTTTTTTCTTCTTCTTTTTCTTCAATAATATCACGAAGACTGATGCATTTGATCATTAAAATGTTTCATTAAATTCCTACTGTCCCTGTATTTTCATCTAGATACAACAAGCTACAGTATAGCGGTGTAGAGCGTCTAAACTGTAGAAGGTATAGGTGTTCGAACAGCAAGAATCGTCTACTATGTGATTTTGTCGTAAAATTTGTTTAATTATCGTAGCTTATCGTGTGTATGTATTCATAGTGATTACACGTGCACGATGAAGTTACGAAGCGAGAATGTGGAGAGAATTTTTCAGCCGCAAGGAGCGCACGTGTTCAGCGAGACAGAATTATTGAAACGCGTAAACAGAAGTTCAACCCTTCAACGAACATTCTCAATACCAGGGTTCACTTCTTCTCTACCAAAACAAATTTCAATTCTATTCTACAATAAATATACAGTACCTTACAATGGTACAAAGTAAGAGTACAGACAATTCTTTCGATCGAGAATTCATACAGTGTAGAAGGATTAATTCCGCTCCGATCATCCATTGCAAATAAAAGACTAAATACGCTCGGCCATGCAGAATTCTTGATCGATATTATTTTGAGTCCAGCACAGTTGCAAAAGCGGAGTATATTGTTCTTTAGTAAGGAGAGGTTTTGTTTGAGATCGAGGCAGTGTATTGAGAGACAGACGGTGATAGACGAGAATTAAGATATTTTTTTACGCATATCCGTTACAAAAGATTGTTAATACAGAGAGGCAGAGAAAGAAAGAGACAGAGACAGAGAGAGAGAGAGAGAGAGAGAGAGGATGGGCGTGAAGCGTGTGACGATAATGTGGAAAGAGTCTCACGCGTTCGAGCACCAACCTCGAAGGCAAAAGATTTGCGAGCGAGAACTTCGGATTAGAGTAGGCGGTTAGACATTGGAAAATATCCTCTTTGGCCTCCGGAGTGCTGGGGCTCGAGTCCTCGTTGTACACGTGTCGCATCAACTCCAAGCGCTGTCTACAAGTCAACACGTATTACTTGCGCGAGTGTCCCCGTGCGTATTTATCCAAGCACGCGTTTACTGATTCAAGCGATGATACAGTATATCCGTTTCTCCGTACTCTCTTATTTCACCCCTTAATTGGCTAACACTCACAGTTTATTCTACTTACACGACAGATTTAAAGGGGTTCCCGTAAAAGCCTGCGTTTCTAATCGTAAAGTCCGGAATAAAAGAAACGGGCAAAGAAATCGAATTTCTTACAAATTTTATTTTAAAAATAGGAAAATAAAAATAAGTCTAGAAAGATAAGTAAATTGTAATGAAGTTGCGACGATTATAAGCAAAAAAAAAAAAAAGAAAGAAAGAAGGGTATACCTAATATCTTTAGTTTTAGCCGGGAGATATGTACTGGCTTGAAAGCTACATGACTCACCCGGTATTATAGTATACGTGAAACGAATAATATAAAGCACGTTTCGCACTGGAATAAAATACTCGCGACGAACCTGAGTTTATCGAGTGTCCAATAATGCGTCGCGCCATTTTTCGTATCTTGCACCTCTACGGCGACTATCGTACGCGGGAATGGTCGTTCCTCTTCCTCTTCGTCGTCCACTGCAGGTAACAGGTCTGGAGGAAGTGGCGAGTAAAGCGTATCCGTGAGCAAAGTAAACTGGAATTGCACCTATAAAGGATATACGTGACATTTTAGGTAAACGAGTAAAAAAGATATTTGTCTCCTGAAATAAACGTGTCAAAATAAGCTGACAAATAAATAAGAGAAAATAAGTAATCGTTGAAATGCATAAATTATAAAAATCGTTGTGAGACGTGAAATAAGCGTGTAAATTGATTAAAGAAAATATCAACAATGAATGAACAGCTTGAAATTAGACATAAACGAAAGATAAAAGAACGCAAAGTGATTAGTTGCCAATATGAAGTACTACTTTATGGTTTGTGGAACGTCAAAAAGGGGGTACGCAAAGGTGCTTCAAACTTCAAGCGTCGGAAAAAGAAAAATTTGGAAAATTTCGTGAAATCGATCGATCCAGACATTTAGTGAATTTTGTGCGATTAACAACGTTTGATGGAAAAATTTTTCTTTAGTTTTCTTTTTTTTTCTGTGATTTAAGCAGATGTTCGTGATTGCTCGTTCAAAGAATGAATGTTGAGAGACTGATGAGAAACATGAGCGTCGATGACTCGTGAGCAAAGAAGGGTCGCACAAAAATTCGATTCACGTTAGTTCATCGTGAATGAACCACGGGAATGTACCTTCTTTTTGAGTTCGACAGAAATAGCGTTAGCTTCTTTGAGGAATATAGCGTTGCCCCAGAGATCATCCCGAAGACTTGTGAATTGATGATATTTCCACTTGCGGAAGGCCCAAGCGGCAAGCTGGAACTCTCTCTCGGTCCAGTTGCTCTCTGCGTCAAACAAGGGGTTGACTGAAATGCAAGCCATTACCAGGCAAAACAGTCAGAGAAGCCAAGCATTTCGTGGATACCGGTTCCTTCGTTAAAAGGAGCCACCATCGTTCTGTCCACGATCAGATGATGCACCACTTCACTTTTGCGACAAGCAACCTTTTTTTTTTTTTTCTAGAACATACCTCGGAAACTGTCAAAGTCTCAATGCATTCTGTTGCTTCGTTCTTTGTATCTTGTTAACAAAGGGGAGAGAAAAATCAAGATTCCAAGAGTAACGAAGTATGAAAAGAAATATGGTGAACGTCATACCGGTTAACCACATGCGTGCATCGCAAGTTAATCGAAAGGTAAAATGTCGAATAACGAACGTACATTCAGAAAACATATTACTAACAGTCCGTTACATACCACCATCTGATCGACTGATACAGATCCGTACAGTGGTAGAATTTGTAATGGAATGATACAAATTTCAAAAGGGTTTCGTCGGAATCCTTTTAATTGTGCTTTTCCTATGAATATAAAATTCAGGTGAACCCATTACAAACTCGAAGCTTTTAACAAAGGTGATAAGACGATCTGTGTGGGATCGTAAATTAGTTGTACACAGAGTTGTGTAAAATGTTCGAATCCGAGATGCGTTAAAAAGAATTAAGCAACGAGTGTTAATTTATGTTAAACATTTCAAGCGTTTCAAGATGCATTATTGTCATTTTTGCACAACTCCGTTTAAGTGAATTAGAATAATTATTATAAAGAATAAGAAATATGCTATTCATCATAATTTCAGTAACCATTCAATATGCGTACTCACCGAAGATATCTTCTTCGATATTGTTGAAGTCTTCAGGCGTGTAACTGCTGTACATAGACATCGTCATACTTTGTTCTTCAACTTGTCTTTGCAGTGCGTCTATTCGAGCCTCGTAACTCTACATGCAAAATACAAATGTTCATGTTGGTTCAATAAAATAAATCGTTGGACTAAATATTTGATTATTTATAGAATATTATTTGGCCCTACCTTCCTCTGTTCCTCGAATAACTGATCCGCCTCTTCCTTCTCCTTACGGAATTGTTCCTCCAGAACCAACAATCTCTTTTCCATCTCAGCCTTCAGATCGATTCCCTGTTTCTCCAATAACTCAACCTGTGCAAAGTCCCAGTCGACTGTTTCTCCATTTCCAGGTGTTTCCGCTGGAGATCCTTTCTCTCTTCGTTCGCGTACTGTAGAATGAAAAGATCATTCTTTCCTTTCAGTATTCCTTATTTTTTATACATTTTTATTCCTGATTTTGCAAATTTATTCAAAATGATCATTGATACGCATGCATTCTTAAATACAAAATAACAGGCAGTAACAAGCCATTAGACTCTGAACGTACTGAGCAGAAAATAAATCTCCGCTCACCTTGATCAGGGTGATTGAATCTGAACACATGATTCTTCCCTAATATCACGCGAGATCCAGTCTTTAGAACGATCGGTTCAGTGACCTCACGACCATTCACATAAATTAAAGCGCCCTTCTTTGGTATCAAAGTAATGATACCCTCGTGGTTCTCGAAAACGCAGTGCTCGCTCAGTATATGTGGACCACACAGCTGTACGTCCTGTGGGATGTTAGCTTCTGCGCTACCGATGCGCGTGAATCCGTCCTTGATGTAATAGATCAAACATTCAGACATTAAGGGATCTTCATTTAGGTTCACCAAGTGAGGAGTCTTTTTAGGCGAGAACACGCCAACGGTGACTCCATCTTCTTTCACTGCGACTCCCATTTCTGCAAACACTGCCTCGCGTTGCAAACGAATCAACTCTGTTCGTTTCAACTTATCTTCCCATGTTTCGTTCAGTTCTAAAAGAGCGAATAAAAATGTTTTTTTTTTTAATTGAATCGTTCCATTGAAATTAAATCAGTTTGGAACATATATTTGCCCAACTGTGGGATTTATTTACCAGCTATCAGCTTCTCGGAAGCTTGCAACTGATCCACTGCTTCCTCAGCAATAGTCGATGTGGGATGAGACGGGATTCTCGGCCGAGATTCCTTGACATCGTCCTCACGCTTGTTCGCTCTAATGATTTCGTCTCCTGTGGAACAAAAAGAACCGAATGAGCAAATTGAATGTTAAATTACGTTCAATTCAGAATGGCGAGTCAGCCAGGGATGTAACACGCGTCTCGGAAACATCAAAAGCCATAACTAAAGCAGTGGCGTAAGTGAAAGAGAATATTTTTCGCGGACCTATCCCGTGATCCTTAACCACGACGACGAATGTTGTTGCTTATTAGAGAACAAGAGAGAAATTGGTAAATGAAATGTTTAGTTAAGAAGTTAAGAGGTGAAATGAAATCTATTTCTTCATTGCACTTGCTTAAAAACTGTTTCAATTACAAACATCGCAAATTTTTCTTCTTTTTCTTTTTTTCTTTGTAATGTAGAGGGAAGTTCAATTTTGCAAAAGAAGTTCAGAAAAACGTTTTCCTGCATATCTTTCGACTATCATGCAGAACGAGAAGTTTCACTTTACAATCATGTAGAATTTCAAATGAACGAATAATTGGATATTAGAATCGACATAGGCGTTCAAATTCTTTTTTTTTTTTTTTTGACAAATGTCTGCGGGTGAACAATACTTCGAGTAACATGTACACTGTAAAGGTAACAAATACAAATACGTAGATCGGTAGATTTATGCAAATCAAGCGTAGCGCTCAGTCAAACGTCGCGATTCAACTACGAATGTTGTTATTGAACTTGCTCAATTATGATTCTAATCAACGGTGCTCGTGTCACTGCGTCCGAGATGCATTCGAGTTGTCCATTGTCGAGTGCCATGCAATGTCTTTAGGCTAGTTCGGGAACAAAAGTGATGGGTCTAAGTGGATAATAAGCGAGGCAAACAACACGTGTTTACTGGAGAGGAATTCTGACACAACGGAAAAAACTATAAAGCCTGAGTTTATACGTGGGCTCTCGACGCGCTATGATTTATTCGTGTCTTATCATTGTACGAAGATTCTCTCGAGACGCTAACAGAATTATCTCTAAATGATCGTACGTCGATCTTGATCAAATTATTCGACACGCTTCTTCTTCTCTTTTTTTTTTACAATTTCCTTTACTCACAAATAATCATATATCTTTCAATGAACTTTCGATCAAGATCGAGCTTTCTCTAACTCTGAATGATGATTCGTTTTTGTCGATTAGTTGCAACAATCTAGTACAAGCCAAAGTGGCAAATGTCATGACGAATGATCAATTGATAAGGACCGTGGTTCTAAATGGATCATCTGCTTGTGTTGAAAATTCGTAAGAACTATCATGTACTATGTACAATATGCTGTTCGACGTGTCCTGTCTCTGCTACTCGCTATTTAAAAAAAAAAATTATTTTTATTCTTCGTTCTACCAGAAACATTGCTTTTAACACTAAAAGCCGCTAATTATGCCGCCTACGAGTGACAGGGAACAATGGTAATCATTAGGCGCTGGTTACCAAAGGGCCGAATACATATATGAAAAGGAAAAAAATACAGAATGCGAATCGCGAAGCAGATGTAAAAAAGAGAATCTTGTCGAAGAAATCGACAAAAACACAGAGAGATAGAGAGATAGATAGATAGATAAATATAGATAGATAGATAGAGAGATGACACGCATTATGCACTTGGCCGTGAAAAATTAAGCGGACGTTCAAGTAACAGGCGCAAAAATAGTGATCGATTGCCTGGCTTTTATAAGACTTTTCGCTGTGTGGATTGTCGATGATTTTACTTACTAGATTCTTTCTTTTCATATGTGACTTTGCCATCTGGCCCTACGTCAAGCACAGGGGAAACAAAGAAAAAAAATGTACTATGTAAATGGTGGCTTGTCTACCGCGCGCTACTTTTTTTCTTTTTTCTTACAATTTTCGCTTTTACTTTACACTCTCTGTTTTCTTTTTCTTTCTTTTCTTTTCTTTTTTCAGTTAATTGTCTTTTGTCTTTTCTCACCCGTTTCTCCATCTCTGACGCGAGCAAGCACGCGTTAGAACGCGTAACAACGTTGCAAAGAACAGTTTTGTGCGACTACTTCAAGTTACAGGAGCTTTACCTTTCTCAGACAGGAGGAATATGATGAATAAATAGAGAAGTC